CGTCCAGTCGCGTCCGGCCTGCTCACCATTGCTGAAGCCCTCCGCCATGCCTCCCGCTCCAACACTGAGCACCCCCTTCTCTCACTTCGAATCGTCGGCCCCACTTCTCTCTCCTCTTCCAAAGACGATGACAACAACAACAACAAGAAGCTCAAGCTCAAGCGTCTTGCTCCAGGCCTCGTTGAGCTCTCCTCTCGCTCTGTTCCCGCCACCTCCGATGATGTCATAGGAAGCATGACTCTCTGGCCTCTGACTTCTATGAACGGTTCGGAGCCCAACCTTCGAGGTTTCGAAGAGCTACTTGCTTCGGTTTTAGGGAAGAAGGGAACTCAAGAGGGATCATTTAGATTGTTGAAGGCTCAAGTGTCGGCACAAACTTATGTGAAGATGGCGTTCTCGGTGGAGAAGAAGCTTCTAGAAGGTGATGTTGATTGGTCGAGCTTTCCTGAGTGGAAAACAAAGCCTGACAAGGCGATGGCCCACTTTGAGGTGCTTGCAAGGGTTGATGAAGGGGGTAAGGTTGTGCCGGAGAGAGTTGCGGAGGTGCAACCGTTTCAGGGTGGCGAGAGCGTAGTGCCACGTGTGCAGACTGGGAACATGAGCATGTCGCAGGTTGAGATGGTTTACCCGCCACCGGAGTATTTTGTTCTGTGATGATATTTATGGGGACGGCAAGTTGTACAGATATGTCAAAGGCGACTTGAGGCAAGTGCGGTGTGTGGAAGGAATAATGATGTATTATATGTTAGCTAAGTTACTGGGAGAATCTGGATTGTATTTTTCCTGCTATTCAAGTATTCATGATTCATTTTGAAAGTATGCTCAGAGAGTAGGGGTGTTATCGGAGCGGATACGGTTTGGATATGACACTTATCATATCCATATCCGTTTTTTATAAACGGATATAGATAATTTTCGGTAAAAAAACCCTTAACCATATCCAACCATATCCGCACTTATCGGAAATGGATACAGTTCGGATATATGAGAATCGGATCGGATATGATCACAGATATAAGCGGATATTCGACATAAATCTATTAGACATATAATCTTTATCCAAAACCATTAGTTAAAAACTAAAATTGAGCACAAATCTATTAGACTAAAGATGTACTAGAAAAAACATTCAACATCAGACAACATTTCCATAACCATTTATTTATCAAATGAGAAGGCAAAGTGCATAAAAAATCAATCACTAAATTTAGATGCCTTCATGAAAAGGAGGTATCTTGCTGCTTCTGGAGCTCGATCCATGGCGACGTCTTGGTGGTCAAAGGTGGAGGCAGCGTCGAAGGATTCGATCCTTGGGGTTACTGAGGTTTTTCTTGCGGAAATTGAGGGCTGGAGTGGAGGCGGAATGATGTCACAGATTCACAAAGCTAGGGTTTTTTAGTTGTCAATTGGGTTTTGGGTTAGCGGTTACGGGTTTGTAATTTTAACTTTGGGATCCGAATCATTATTACATTGCGGATATCCATATCCGCAATCCTCATATCCGTTTCCGAATCCGTATCCGAAACCAAATCCGTCTCTGTTACCGTATCCGTCTGGTTTTAAAATTAGCTTACCATATATGCATCCGTTCTGATACAGATGCGAATCGGTTCGGATATATCCGAACTGTTTGGCACCCCTATAAGAGAGTCATTGGTGTGCAAGTACAACATGATACTGTTTTGAAAGTGCTCGTAGAGTCAAAGGTGTTACAAATTGATGTTGTGTTGTTCCGCACGGACATCGTTACTAGTTGTAGCATTGTATCCCTTTCCCTAAACCAGTTTGTTTTCGTTCTTTTGCTGATGTTATTTCATTATTTTTGAGGTTCGAAATTAGTCCCAAGCTCAATAGCTCGAACTGTATATGGATTCGATGGATACGTTGAACTCATATATTTCATGTGATTTCGGATTTTACCGGAACATTCTTGGGTTGAATTCATATATTTCCTGTGATTTCGGATTTTACCAAAACATTCCTGGCTCTGGACAGAAGTAAATTTGATAGGGAAATATTTTCTCTTGCTATTGGCGAAGCGGTTAAAAACAATCCGAAGTTTATGGAAGTAGGGAAAAACAATCCGAAGAATTAATCAAAATTTACGAATCAAGATCTCATGTTGTTGCGAGTCGTTCATCTACATTAATATAAAGATGATCTGCCAAGAAGAAAGAAAATGATCATACATCGGTACAACTCAAGTTTTGTTTCTGGTTTTTCTTTTTTCTGTGTGACTTGCTACGCGGGGCTAGGATTCATTAAGAACAATTTTTTACTTCAGCCTCATTTAATTTTTTTATTATTGAAATCGACCTTTTTTTTTATTTATCAAAACCGACCCGATTTCTTTATTAGTAGCTTAATCACCTTCCTAATTAGTCGGGGTTGACAACCCCGACTATTTAGGAGAGTGTTAAACCCTAATTAGAAGCCTTAAACCCTAAAAATTAATGTTCTAAATAGTCGGGGTTGGCAACCCTGACTAATTAGGAAGGTGATTAAGCTGCTAATCACGAAATCGGATCGGTTTTGGTGAAAAAAAGGGTCGATTTCAATAATAAAAATTTAGAATGAAGCCGAAGTGAAAAATTGTTCATTCATTAATCTCTCTTATTGGACCAGTCCCAAAACATGCGCCCATGGGCCTTCCTCAAAACTGAATGTATAGAAATTAGCTTTTTCCACAAAACTTAATAAATTAATGGACCCTCGGATCTCATTGAGGCGATATCAAGCGTCCGATCTGAAAGGAGACTGATATCCGCCACCGATAGCACTCCAAACCCCCAGCGCGTGCAATCTGCGCACCTGCGCGCGCATTTCGAAAACGGAAGCGAGAGATCCACTCTCCCCTATCCGGCGAGAAAATCGGGAACTGGCCGTTGCCTCAGTCTTTAGTAGTTACAAGAAAATGGGTAGATCTAGAGATATTCCTAACCCTAACCCTAACCCTAACCCTATCTTCTTCATTCGTCTACTTGCGTCGGATCTCAAAGCACGCGATGGCGATGAGGAACGAGGTGGTGGTGGCGGCGGCGGTCNCGGCGGAGCGCGAAGCGATGGAAGAGGGCGAGGGCGATCGTGAGGGACTTTAGGGAGGATTGTGATATGCCGGTGTCCAAGATGTGGGATGTGGCCGACGCCATGGTGGCCGAGATGAGGGCTGGGCTCTTTTCGAATGAGAGCGGGGTTAGCAGCTTGCGGATGCTCGTTTCTCCGATCGATTCGTTTCCCACTGGGTAAAACCAGTTTCTTGATTTTAGTGGTTTGATCTGTGGTTTTAGGGTTAGGTTTTGCTCTAGTTTGAGTTATGAATTTGAAATATGTTGAACTAGGGTCAGGAAGTTGTCCTTTGAATCATATATTTGGCCTCGACCACACTCGTTAACACTTAAACTATAAATGGTTGGACTCATTTGATTTGTTTCATTGTTCAATTATGCATTTGGATCTAAAAAAATAAGTAAATATTGTGCATTCTAGGCAAAACTTCCTTATTGAATTGTTGTAATTGGTGGACTCGTAATTATGCCGTGATTCACATTTAAAAACTTTTCTATTGCATAGGAAATAACTCATGAAATCATGTTAGTTGTGAATCCAATTTTCGTGAAAAATATCAGACATATGATTGCCATATTTGGATTTACACTTTCAATGCCTGCCTGTGGAATTGAAGGTATTTGAAGTCCAGTGGAATTTAGTCTAACAGGTAAACAAAAAAACTTGATTGAAATTTGCATTTATGTGATCCTCCAACATAGAAATCCCAGACATACCTACTTTTCCAATCACGAGCAACCTAACACTATTAAATATGGAACTGATGTCTAAATGGTTACAGATTGTTCTCACGAGTGTTCAGTGTTCTTAACTCAAAAGACGCGTATTGCTGCTAATACAAGTTCAAAAATCACTTGGAAAGAACCTATGGAAGAGGATGCAAATAGTAGTCTAAGACTTCAAGAATTTATAATTAACAGGAAACATATATTTTACATTTACATTTTATGAGGTTGTGGCTCTAAAAGCGGTTATTACTTAATGCAGAAATGAAGAAGGAACATTCTATGGAGTAGAAATGGGCCGAACAAAGGTCTGTGTTTTTCGTGCACAACTGGCAGGGAAGGAGCTTGGTGTTGCAAAGAAAGAACTCATGGAGGTCCCTGTGCCAATAAATTTGATGGTTGGCACTTCGGAGGTGAGATAAGTAGCCTTTGCTATTTTCCTCACTGTCCCAGATATGTCGAATTTCCAAAAGGGATTGCTTAGAGAATTATATGCAATTTTATTTCAGGAATTATATCATTATCTTGCTGCACAACTAGTAAAATTTATCGCTTCAAGCGGAAGCACTAGTGTGCTAGGAAAGCCCAAAGAAGTTGGTGTAGCATTTTCATTTCCTGTAATTCATTCAGCAACAGAAGGCATCCATGTAGAGTGGAACAAGGGATTTTCTATTAAGGAGAGTGTAAGTTTCACTCTTAACTGTTCTGTGTTATTATAAATGTGTTGTTTCATACTGACAGCTTTTCTCGAAACTTTTGAACTTATGCACAATGATGACGATGTTCATATTAGCTAAGCTGTTAAATTTCATTTGCCTTTCCATTTTTTCCTTTCTTCGTGGATGAAGTGCATCTCAGATAGATTTGGTGGTTTAGATTCTCCTAAAAGTTTCCAACTAGAAACCAAAAAAAACCCTCAACAACTAGAGCTTCTTGTCATCTATCATACCATATTATGTCCTTATAGCACAAGCCAATAACAACAGGTATTCAAGCAAAATAACTTTTGAGGGAAATGTACTAAGTTAATGGAGTTTCTCAATTTCTCATATATTGTAAATGATGTCAACTTGGTTTTTTTCCCCTTTCAGGTGAAACAATTTTTTTTTAGCAAAAGTTGATTTGTTATGATTGGATGAATTTTTTTCTATGTTTTTAAAAATGGTGCAGCAGCTGTATTAGTATATATATATATATATGTGTGTGTGTGTGTGTGTGTGTGTCTATGTCTATGTATATGTGTGTGTGTGTATAGTGACTCTGATCATACATTAATCAATTTACCTAAAAAGTTTTTAGTTATTAGGAAGATAGAAGTCAACAAAAATTTAGATGTAATTTATAGTTCTACCCTGATTCAGATATTTGTTTACTCCCTTAGATTTATCGAGGATAACACATTTTTTAGAAAACCGGTAAAAATAAATGGAGTTACAAGATAAATGTTAAGTTGATGGCATGTATAATTGATTTAGAGCATGTTTATACATTTGAACATTGACTGTCATGATTTTGAATTGAAATTAGGCGGGAAGGGATGCTCTCACAATGCTGAACGAGGCCATGGTGAAACATGGCGTTGACATGCATATTGCTTCCCTGGTAATGAATCCTATCCTTAAATTACATCTATTTAATTCTGATTGTTAGTCAAAGAGAAAAAGAATGATTTGTCATCGATATTGACTATCAATATATTTTGTATGACATTCTTAATAGGTTAATAATACTGTTGGAACTCTGGTTGGAGGTAGATACTGCAGCCATGAAACTGTGGCTGCTATTATTCTAGGGAATGGGACGAATGCTGCCTACTTGGAGCCTTTGGAGTCTGTGCCCAAATGGCATGGCTCTCGTCCACCGCATGGACAATTGGTCAGTGTCTTAAATCTTCACTGGCCGCTATTGTGTTTCAACTCCATCAATTACCTGGTTGGAGCTATGATTGATTCATGTCTAGTTACTAGTTTGTAACAACGTCTGATGCTTAGGAATGTATTCTGCTGCTTTTTTTTCCAGGTCATCAACATGGAATGGGGAGATTTCCTGTCATCTCATCTTCCCGTTACCGAGTTTGACTCTCAATTAGACAATGAAAGTCCAAGACCTGGGGAGCAGGTTTGAAGCTTTCTGCTCTTTTCCACGATAGTAACTCTTTATTTGCTTTAACATTGAACACTGTTTTCCTTTTATGCCCAGATATTTGAGAAGCTCATCTCTGGAATGTATCTGGGAGACATTGTTAGAAGGGTATTGCTGAAATTAGCTGAAGAAACTGCTCTGTTTGGAGACAGTGTCCCTCTAAAACTTAGAATTCCATTTGCTTTAAGGTATGACTATTTATGTAGTATAATTATTGGATAATCAAAATTGCCATATTGCTTTTGAATATTGGCAGAATGCTAATTGAGAATTGATTTCCGCCTTGTTCTTCTTGAATATGACATGCACTGCCATGGTTTTATTTAAACAAATTCTCTTCAGGCATGTTGGTCAACACCTATTGGTTCAAAAATGATTCTCGGGAGTCAGAGTGCGCAACTAACAGTGGCATTGACCACATAGAAGTACTGATTTATTGAATGCATCATGTGTTTTGCATGAAAACAATTGCAGACACATTTCCGCCTTTATCACAATTGGACACTTCATGGTTTTGCATTAAGTTGTTACCTTTCACATAGTCATGGATAAGCTTCTTAAAGCATTCAGCATGAGATGAAGTTGTGTCTGTTTTTTGCTGATAATAATTAGTTACTGATAACCCAAGCGAAGGGATAGTTTCTAAAATAGTAAAGATATGCTTTAGGATCTAATGTATCACTTAAATTATTGATGAAGTTTCCAACTTACACCTAGCTGACCAAGTCTCCCTTGCAAACTACTAAAAATACTGGATTACAAGCTTTGACTCTGCAATGTGATAGCCTTTGAGGAGGATATGACTTGCATCATCTATGGATCTTGTTAGCTGAAAAGGTGGGAGTGTTCTGGAAGAGTTCTCATATGAGAAGCATAAAATTTGGAGGATTTTAAATGTTTTTATGACATTTTATCCTTAGCAGTCTTCTTTTATTCTATTGTCTGGCAAGCTGCAATCTCGCTTCTTCAGACCCTTATATCTCCCCTTTAATACTTCTCCAGCTTCTTATGAGAGCTTCAACAATCACTTGAGTTTTCACTATCTTTATAGAAAATGTATGAATATAATCTGTGATTGGATTGCATGCTCTTAAGCTATGGAACATTTGCACTTCTGAATGATGATATCAATTTTGTGGATCAGCTAACTCCTTGAACACAATAATTGTGCCCCTTTAAGCCTTTAACAACCCTTTGACATTAATATAGGTATTCAATTTCCTTGTCATTAATAAGCTAGTGGAAATAGGCACCACATTTTTCACATGGTTAATGAAAATTTTCATTTACTAAAAAAAAAGGCAAAGTGTGAATACAGGCAACATTCCCTTGAAAGAGGATTGGAAAGAAGAAGAAAGGTAGTTTATCTGGAAAGTGAAGGGTCTATTATAGATGTGTATAACCTACTTATATATCTTGTTTCGTAATGTTCCACAGACATGTTTTTGTTCTACTTATCAAGTAACCCACATTATTAGGAGCCTCTTTTGAAGTCTGTTGTTGCAACAAGTCACCCATTGGCTCCTATTATCCATGAGATAATCCTAGGGCACAGATTATGTTACTTGCTTTTGAAGTTCATATCTACTAACTCCAAATGGCAATCCAATTTTACAAATCTAACCTAAAGGATGACTATAGGCGAGGAGAAAGTCCGAATGATAAAATAAACTGTAACTTAGAAACTGAAGAATCACATTTATGAGAAGAAACAAGGCTGATCTCACACTTTTGACTGAATGATACCCAAAAGATTTTTTTTTTTTTTTTTGCACGGGATCATCATTATGATAGCACATGAGTTGAGAGAAAGCTTTTCTATCTCCATTGATAAATTTAGATCACTAACTGCTGAATGTTGGGGTAAGCCTCATTAACGTGTTTGTGATTGCCATCTATATGGTAGAGAGCATACCAACTATCTAAGGGAGCTACAATTAGATTGCATCGTCGAATACTGGTATATCATGATCTCCACATGGTGCTCATCTCAGCCTCCACATCATCCTTTTCGCTCCAAATATTAATCTTATGTTTTGAAGTTGTGTTCCTCTTGGAAATTTTATCTAGAAGGATTGAATTCAAATTTGTTGAGTATACTTCTCAATATAGGCATATACCTTTGTCCAAAGGTTTTTCGAACAAGAATAATAATGTTTGGGATTTTCAGTATTTGGTAATTTTTGATTAGAAAAAGCAACATTATACCTAGAAAATCAGCAGCTACCGCTGTGTGGCTAGGGCATGTGGTATTGGTTTTGCATTGCTTCTTTGTGTAACATACCTATCAGTCTGTAATGCCAGGTCCTTAATAGTGCTCCAAGGAATGATTTCAACATCCCAGTATTTTGACCTTAAGGAATCAATAGGGAGCAAGCTATAAAATGACATTGCTTTGTGGCCTTAGTAGCGTGTTATAATGCAAACTGTAAGTTAAAAGGGTACAAGTGAATTTATTTTTTGATGTTACTATGAGTGACTATCAAATCTTCATATTATGTCATTAGTCATTTCTGGACTGCCGCTCAAAGTCAAATACAGTTATTTCCCAACAAGTGCAAGTTCAATTAAACTTATTTATTGATTATCTAATTCTTGTATTGTGTCATTATTAGACTACTGCTGAAAGTCTATCAGCAGTTACTTCCTGAGTAAACTTCAGTTCTTTCTGTAGTACTTTCATAAATTAGAAAGTAATATCTATTTGGTGTTGTCCCCAGATGGATTCCGTTTTCACTTCCATCCTTGATGTGTACATTTTAGTTTTGCTACTTTTACCTTTTACCTTTTGAACCTTCCATGATTTGACATGGATGTATTATTTTTTGCAGGACTCCTGATGTTGCTTCCATGCATCAGGATACATCATCAAATCTACGTGTTGTTGCAGAGAAGTTGGATAAAGCTTTAGGGGTATTTCCCTGCCGCAACCCAACTATTCTTTTAGCTCAATCGGTAACAATAGGGATTGTTTTATTGATCATTAATGTTCGAATTGGCAACATGAGGCAATTTCTCCTCCCATGGATACCATAGCTAGTTATCTTCAATTGCATTAAAATAAATTGCTTTATAGCGGACAGGATATCATCAATAATTGGAAAAACCAGTTATATTTATTTCATAATCACCACGAAAAGCATCTCATCTTTTAACTTATGTTTATTTTTCTGTTCATTAAGTTCCGAATAGTATAAACTTTAGCTTACTCAAATTTTAATGATGATAGATATTTTGTCTTGCAGCTGGTCAGACGAATGATAAAATATAATCAATAAAGAAAACTGACGTGGCCTCACTGGCAAACGTGGAAAATTCTCTCCAATTTTGTGACACCTGAAATCCATAAATTATATATTTCTGTCCTACGAAGTACATGTGTCCGCAAGTTTTCCTAATCTTTTACAGACCCTTTATGCTATGCTTTCGGTTTGAGAGACTTCAATTATATGGTGCTTTTGTATATTATTTCTATATGATTATCTTCATTGTTTGCCTTTTGATTTGGAAGCTCACACCTAACTATTGAGTCATCTATTTCTGTTCATTATTCCTTATAATATCTTGTACCAAACACTATCTTTCCATCTGTCTGTTGGCTCATTGTTTTCCTTGAAGAAAGTAGGGCAGGGATGAAGCAATTGCCTACTCTAATATTTTCTTTGTTTACATAATCTCAGATTCACGATACAACTAGAACAATGAGAAAGCTTGTGGTAGAGGTATGTGATGCTGTGACAAAGCGTGCAGCTCGATTGGCTGGGGCTGGAATAGTTGGCATTTTGAAGAAGCTAGGGAGGGATGGAACTGATAAAAAAGCAGTTGTAGTGGTGGAAGGCGGTCTCTATGAACACTACAGGCTCTTCAGAACTTATTTACATAGTAGCATAAAAGAGATGCTTCAGGGGAAATTCTCCGATAATGTGGTTATCGAGCATTGGCCAGATGTCTGCGGAGTTGGATCAGCATTGCTTTCAGTTCCAAGCTCCCATGTGTAAGGAACTGATGCTGGCTACTTATATCATGTTGGATTCTAAAGTTTCCAGTTTACTACAATGCAGGTGCCAATTAGGCATTTGTGCAGAAGCCAACCAATGTCTTGGTGCCGAATAAAGAAGGGGTTTAATAAAGGAACTTATGCCGTTGTTAGAAAACAGTTCAGAGGCATTTTTTGATTCTCTTGATCCTCAGGGATTGTGACTTGGGTATTCACTTTTTTAGCGGATATAGTTTTGTATGGCCTTGAATTTTGACAAGTCCTTTCTTTCTTTCGTTCGTTCTTTCTTTTTCCTTCTATTTCGTAAATTTATTTACCATCACACGGTCTTGAATCTTGATTGATAAAAAGTAACTTCTTGAATGGTACTCTTCTATAAGCTCGAAAAGACAGTAAATCAGAAATTCACATATCTGAATTGCGGTGAGAAAACAGAAACTTACAGTGAATGGACATTTCATCGATTTTCTTTTTTACTGTTCACTACCGGGTTTATTCATGGCCATCAATTATTTGACCGTGCCCAGCCCTGCTTAATAATTACCTGTGCATTTGTATAGCAGAGAGAGTTTCTCAGAGCAATCACATCTGCAGATTTAAAAGGGAAGTTTTTTCGTCCATAGATTCAAGTCACGAATGCATATCATGAGCTTTTACTTGTTTTTGCGTTCTTCACAGATGAACTACAGTATAATTACAAAATTGACTCGTGAGTGGAGCGACGACCGCAGTCTGCAGCCAACATAGCGTACGAATGAGTAGTTGGCTTCAATCCACTGTTCCGCTGTTGTCAATCTCTTGGCAAATTTTGTTGCTGTTAAGTACAGAAGTACTCTCTTCTAGCTATGGTGCTGCTTTAAGAGAAACAATAGCTGACCTATGGTTGTAAAAGCTTTATTATTTGTTTGCATCTCTGGCTTCAAGTGATGGCAGTATCTGGATCTGGTCATCCGATTCAATGAGGAGAGGGGGGCCGGTTGACGAAACAGAACACATGGGTGTCAGCAGCAATTGTTGCAGGCCTATTGCATGCATGATGACTTTCCTGCTGCTTTTGCTGTTCAGATGCGGAAGCGTGGTGAGCGCTGGATGATCCTCATCCAAGTATTCATCGGTTCAGGCGTTGGAATTTGATGGCTCACGTTTTTATTTTTGAGCATAAATGAGATTTTATTGCGAACTCAGTATTGGGGCGAAACAAAATACAGTTATAGCAGTATTGGCACAATAGAATACATCGATGCATTACACAAAAGATGTGTATCATTATGTCATACATAATATTCCACGTCTTGAAACCTAATCGATAAAGCTAGGCGCTTACCTGGAATTGTGATGAGGGGTTATGTGTGAAAGATTAGTTTGCAATAGAATTCACTCATCCGGGAGATATTGCGAATGTAGGTTTGAGTTGTTGTAACTATATTAAAAATAATAATAATAATAAGGCGATTTGTAGAGAGACTATACCTAGGTCATTGCTGTTCTCATGTATTGCATTCTGATGTTGGACTAATATTTAACTTTGATCCATTCAAAATATAATAATAATAACTTTAATAACAACAAGCAGTAATAAGCAGCATTGGAATCAAGCTAGATTTCTTATATTAATTGACACAAATTTAATTGCAATTTGTAGAGGAACAATCATAATTTCAAATTGGGGCGGCTGAGTAGGTCACATGGTAAAGCGATGTAGCTCCCTCGAGAGTCTGGATTCGTTCAGTGTACATAATCCCAACTTGTTATTTTAATGTAACTATGAACATTTTGTAACCGTAATTACAGGAAATAACCCTTTTATGTAAGAAAAACATCCAACATGCAAACCAGACAATGTGCATTAATATTTATATCTGAGTGCTGCTACGGGGACCCAAAATATGGGACCAATGGACTCATTATGCAATAGGAAGGGGACACATCACCTATCCCCTCCCTTGATCCCATATTTTAGGTCCTTAAATTATTTTCCTTTACATCTGATTATTACACAATGGAGGATAAATATTTTATGTGAAATCCAAATTCCAACAGGAGACAAGGACGACAGCAATCGAGGCACGGACCCGAGGAGCTATTGACCTCCCAAAAAAACAAAACACTCGTTTGCTTTTTGACACCAAAAAACAACAGTTAATCCAGAGTTCATCTCAATTAACTATTGCAACGCTTACAAAATAATCAATAGCGGCTCCCCAAGACCTGACACAGTTTGACTGTTTCAACTTTAGATCGGTAGTGTACGATCATTAAAGCTGAAAAGATTTATCATAATATTTGAAAATTGAAAAACTAATTTCCTATATTGTTTTTTTTTTTCTTTCAAAAGCATAGAGATAAATCATTTACAGGTGGCAGCCACCTTTCACCGTAATAAGAAACAACATTTGGCAGTAGCCGATGCCTGATACATAGCTCTCCGAAAAGCAGTACTAAGGTGAACTTACTAAATTACCCTTTCCAGATTGAGAAGCAAGCTACACTATAAGCACCAAATTTGAGGAGAGATTTCTGTAATTTCGGTGATGCTTGTAGTTTCGCTGGCCTGCACGAATTTAGCTACTGACTACGTTACTTGTATTTTTTGTGTTACAGTGAGTCGCGTTCTCTTTACTCGAACGGCGTTTTATTGGGGGGCTACTTCTTCCGATAATAATAGAAAAAAATAGCAGACCAAGGGTTATTATGTTACTCCAAAGTAGCCAAGATCATATTTGAACATGAGTGGAGAAAAACATAGAGAGATCTATAAAAATTCATGAAAGACAATGGTTAGATGATTTCATGGACTAGCCTCGATTTTGTTTACGCTAATTAACACTATTTGCTCGTTAATTATTTGATTTACATATTGTATGTGCTGATCTAAATTTCTTATATATAGCACATTTTCTAAGAAGGTTTTTAAGAAATAAATATTTTCCAGAAATTTAAAGGGACCATTGATAAGTAGGTAAAGTTCCATTTGGAATGTACAAAATTGATGTTAATATATCAAAGAAAAATGCTAGAGGTACACCCCTAACCACACTCCTCTCTCGTTACAGTGCACTGGGGCCCACATGAGAATTTAAAAAAAAAATTCATGTAAGTCCCATTATACTGTAGCGAAAGAGGAGTGTGGTTGGGAGTGTGGTTGAGGGTGTGACAATAACGCCTCCCTGTATCAAAACTGAACATAGGAATACCCATTTAGGCTAATTAACTTTCTTTTATCCTTCTTTAAAATAGTCTATCAAGCTAAAGGACAAAAATTTTTGTAGGATGGTGCATTAGGACATTAGAGCCTACAAAGCTACACAATTACATTAAAGTGAACATGCCAGGTTTAGGCGAAAAAAACATAAACTAGCTAGGATAGTAATTTTCACAGATTAAATCATTAATGCAGTTTGTGCAATAATATCTGCATGCATCTCGCACCTTAATTCGGCATAAATTTAGGAGCAGTGCACAGTGCCCTACTCCATACGAAGACCAGCCAAATTTGTCGGTTTCTCTTCAGCTCTCGCCAATTTATAAAGTGGTCCCTTGCCTTGAGTTTCATCACGTTGTGGTCCAAAAATTCCATCTTATCCATTTCCTTAAGGCCATGATTTGCATGATTTTATGTCTTTTACCATCAATCCAAAATTAAGGGAATATAAAATAACCGCATTATACAAAAGGTTCAAAAGAGGGATCCTATTGATTGTTGATGGACATTTGAAATCTCTTTCTCAATTGTGGCGATCCATATTTAATATACAATTATAAACTTATACTTTATCTGCGTGAAGATTCAATCACGAAAATACAAATATTTTTCAATTAACATTATTCTCTTTATTACTAAAGTTGCTGTTAAATAAAAATCTGATGAAGAAAGGTGTACCACCATAATCACTAGACGCATGGAACTTTTTGATGTACTAAAGTTATATTTTGTAGTGCATAGATTCTAAATTTATTTAAACATTAATTCTGTATCGTGAGCACAAGCAGTCATATAACATGCTAAATATCACTTAAACAACATATAACATGATTTTATGTCTTTTACTCAGAGGAGAAAATTAAGTTACTCTTACCCTCATTTATTGGTTTATTTGCTAATCTTACCAACCCTTACTAACCCCCTCATCTATTTAAATCTTCTATCATTTAATCTTAAACCTAATCTCCAAATTCACAGTCTTCATTCCAATATTAGTTCAAAATCCAAATGAAAAGCAACATAAAACCCCCAAATCAAGCTTAAAGACCCAATGTACCATATTTGAACAACAATCCCACCTACGATAAAAAATTAATCCTAACCCAAACTAAAAGAACTAGATTTTAGGAGATATTACCTCAAATTACCCAAATCCAACCAAAAATTCTATGCCTCACCCCAGTTGGAGAGCAAAAGCCCTTATTAAGGATCCTGGTGAGAATTAATCCTTGGATCGAGGGCGAAATTCGTAATTATGAATTAGGGCACTGTATTTATTTTTTATTTTTTTGAGTAATGTAAGAGGGGAAGGTTTAAGACTTTTTACTATTGGAGGGAGTTTACTACCGGGGCGGTTATTTTTATCCTTAGGGGCTGTTTGGTTTGCTTTAAAACCCCGTAGAAACGCTTTTCTCCTCCTGACACCCGCTCTACATCGACAAAACCCATTCTAGGGTTTTCGTTTCTCATCTTTGGTTCGCTTCTCCCCCTCGTCCCTCCAGCTGCGGAAATCCCCTCCACATCGGACTTTTTTCTTCGCCCCATTTCCTTCGAAAACGAGAGGAAATCGCCCCCGATCTGTACTATTGTCAGATCTCGGGTAAATGGGGGGAAACACGGTTGAGGGCTAGGGTCACCTCCTCTTTCCCTCGCTTTTTCACTCTTCGCGCCTTGGGTTCTCTTCGTGGCTTGCGGGGGTTCTCTTCGTGGCTTGCGGTGGTTCTAAACTTGTTGATTTTGTCCGATCTTGGGATCTCGTGGCTTGCGGGAGCTCCTATTTGTTGGTGTTTTGCTGGATTTTGCTAAAATTGGGGGTTTTTTGCTGGATTTCGTGGCTTGCTGGATTTTATCAGCACCTTTATTGGGAAAAAATTGGGGTTTTTTGCCGACTTTGATCTTCCTGGAAACTGATTTCAGACCTAAGGTATGATTCTCAACTCAGAATTGATTTGTTAAAAATTTTGTATGATTTGAATTATTTAGGATGAAATTTTGCATTTTCTATAGATATCTAGAAATTAACACAAATTTATCTGAAAATATAATTGTAATTAACTAAAAATGTTACTGTAATTAACTAAAAATTATATTAATTATTATAAATATAATTGAAAAGAGAACAGAAATGAACTGACAATTATCTTAAATGGTCGTAAAAGAAACTGAAAATATTGATGAAATATTAACTGAAAATTAACTTTAGATCTTGTTATGTGTCATTTAAGTTTTGATTATTGACATTGCATATGAATGCTTGGTAGGTATATTAATTATTTCAATTTGATTTTTGCATCGTAGATGGATGGTGATGGGGATTGTACCGATGAACAAAGTGTTGTTAATGTGGTTCAAGGTGCTGCACTATCCGTTCTTGTTATAATAATTACATTCATAAGGAGAATGCAAGCTAGACGTAAATCTATACGTCGTGGTCCAAGTGAGGAAAAAAAAAGACAAGAGAGGTCTAGAATTGAACATATAGAGCGTATTTATAATGGTTTTAGTGATAGTTGTGTGAATTATATTAGAATGCGGAGTGGTGCTTTTGTTAAGCTAGTAAGTATAATGAGGAACAATAGGCTTCTAAAAGACTCAAGGAATATATCAGTGGAAGAACAACTTATCATGACACTAAATATTTTGGGTCATAAATCTAAAAATCGCATTGTGAGATCTCATTTCATAAGATCAGGGGAGACAGTCAGTAGATATTTCAACAAGGTTTTACAAGCAATTATCTGTTTGCGTGGACGCTACATGAGACAAGCCATCAATGATACTCCCCAAGAGATCGTTAACAACCAGCTATACTATCCTTATTTCAAGGTATATCTACATTTTAACGTAATTATATAAAAATTTAACTTAAAATTTTTTAAATTTAATATGCAAAATTGACTTCTTTAACAATTGTTTTAATAAAATTGTAGGCAAATACTATCTGTGTGATGCTGGGTACCCTACCATGCCAGGTTTCATATCTCCATACCGTGGTGTTCGATATCATTTGAAAGAACATTCGGGTAAAACACCTAAGAATAGAAGGGAATTATTCAATTTAAGACATTCTTCTTTGCGGTCTAAGATTGAATCTGCATTTGGCACATTGAAGAATCGTTTTAAGATTTTGTGTGCTAAGCCGCATTATCCATTTCCTACACAAGTAGATATCGTATTGGCATGCACGATACTTCATAATTTCATCGCAACTGTTGACCCAAGCGATGAACTACTCAGCGAGTCCGAAATTGATGAAGATATTGATGGTGAGGTGACAAATGAGAATGATAACAATTTAGTTGATTTTACTCAGACTCAAACTCAAAGAGAACAAACTGAATCAAGAAATGAGTGGAAGACCCTTAGAGATAACATTGCTTGGGCGATGTGGGTGGACTATTGTGATAAGTATAATCATGGTGTAACTACTGAGACTTAATTCTCATATTTGTTGTACTATTTATGCTCATGTATGTAGTGACAATTTGATGGTTTGTCCACTTTTTAGATTTTGCTTTTCATTCATGTAGTCATGTTCTTATATTTTGCTTTGCAATATCAATCATGTATTCATGTTATTATATATTGCTTTGCAATATCTTTCATGTACTCAATTTGTTCTTATTGACTTAATTAGTGATGGCTGATACTCCTAAAGGCAAGGGTGTAGCGCCATCTCAGCCTCCACCCTCTCAACCCCCTCAGTCATTGCATCAAGGCGATAGTGGGTATTTTCCTTTTCAGCAGTCATACTTTGGGCAACCACCTCATGCATTTCCCACCATGCCATTCCATGATGGCAGTTACTTCCCGATGCACCCTCATTTTGGGTCATACACGAGCATGCTAAGTTCTCCTACTTTGCCTACACAATTTCATAGTCCTAATATTAGTGGGGTACAACTTTCTCCCACTAGTGGTTATGGCTCAACTCCCGAATCAGGTTCCAAACGGGTGCTCATAGAAGGAGGGGAAGAAACATCACCAAATCCAAAGAAGAGGAGGAAAAACACATCAACAAATAAAAAAAATAGTGAGACTGGAGGTCTTAAAGGTAACAAACATATGTTCTGGGATTCCCGTTACGATGATGAGCTCATTCCATTTCTTGCCGACATGGTAAGAAAGGGTTACAAACCCGACAAAAGCTTTAAGAGAACCGCTTTTCATATGGCTTCCCAGCATATTAATGAGAAGTTTAACACATCATTCAAGTGGGAAAATGTCATGAACCGCATCAAAACTTTGCGTACAAGATTCCGTGATATGGAAACATGTCGTAATCTTAGTGGTGCCGGTTGGGATGAAAGCACCAAGACTGTCATCATGGATCCTGAATGTTTGGATAGGTTGATTGAGGTACATAAACTATTTTTACATAACCCTTGATTACTTATCTTATTTACATGTTTTCATTGAATTAATTCAATTATACTTTTCAGGACAAGAGCTTTAAGAATGCTAAACTTAGACAATATGTCAATAAACCCTTGACTCACTACGATGATCTTTCCCTTATCATCGGGGATGATCAAGCTAGAGGAGAATTTGCATGTGATGCTTGGAAAAAATTTAGTCGTAGTGAGTCCATAAATCTTGGAGATGATGGTGACTCGCCTTTACCTGCCTCACAATCCCCTCAAGTACACATTTTAGATGAAGAGGACACTCCTCCGCCTAAGGAAACACCCGCCATATCAAGTTCTAAAGCAAAGGTATGTGTTGCTAAGGGAAAGGCTCGTAGGAACAACCTAGAAGATGAGCTCATGTTAAAAATGGTGGATAAGATAGATGTATTTAGCGCAAACATGAAGTGTGTAAATATGCATTGGACCGAGAAGTTATCCACGGTCATATATGCTCATTTACAAGATTTTAGTGTTGAAAAGCTAGATACATACTACCGACACTTATATTTGAATGAGCATGAAGCAAGACTATTTATGGGCATATCATCGGTTGGTCAAAAAGAGATGATTGCTACCTTTCTCAACGAAGGGGGTTGAAGACCGATAGAAGATGTCTCTACGTGGTATTTTGTGATTTTCATTTCTAACATACTTGTGAAATCCACTTACTTTTGGTGATAATGTTTTTATTGTGTTTGTGGAACATTATGATGATGGAACATATTGTTGTAATATGTAGTAAGTATTTATTTGCTTCCATTTTGTAATATTTATCTTCCATGATTAATATCATTTTGTGGAATACTAACTTTTTGGTGTTCGATATCATTTGAAAGAACATTCGGGTAAAACACCTAAGAATAGAAGGGAATTATTCAATTTAAGACATTCTTCTTTGCGGTCTAAGATTGAATCTGCATTTGGCACATTGAAGAATCGTTTTAAGATTTTGTGTGCTAAGCCGCATTATCCATTTCCTACACAAGTAGATATCGTATTGGCATGCACGATACTTCATAATTTCATCGCAACTGTTGACCCAAGCGATGAACTACTCAGCGAGTCCGAAATTGATGAAGATATTGATGGTGAGATGACAAATGAGAATGATAATAATTTAGTTGATTTTACTCAAACTCAAACTCAAAGAGAACAAACTGAATCAAGAAATGAGTGGAAGACCCTTAGAGATAACATTGCTTAGGCGATGTGGGTGGACTATTGTGATAAGTATAATCATGGTGTAACTACTGAGACTTAATTCTCATATTTTGGTAGTTGTTGTTGTTGGTTGTTGGTGGTGGTGGTTGTTGTTGTTGTTGGTTGTTGCTGGTTGTTCTGATTTGGTTGTTGTTGGTCTGGTCTGGTTGTTGTTGGTTATTGCTGGTTGTTGGTTAGTTTGGTTGTTGCTGGTTAGTTTGGTTGTTGCTGGTTTTTGCTGGTTGTTGTTGGTTGGTGGTTTTTTGGGTTTGTTGTTGCTGGTTGTTGGTTGATCTTGTTGTTGGGTTTGTGGTTTCTTTTGCTTTTCATTCATGTAGTCATGTTCTTATATTTTGCTTTGCAATATCAATCATGTATTCATGTTCTTATATTTTGCTTTGCAATATCTTTCATGTACTCAATTTGTTCTTATTGACTTAATTAGTGATGGCTGATACTCCTAAAGGCAAGGGTGTAGCGCCATCTCAGCCTCCACCCTCTCAACCCCCTCAGTCATTGGATCAAGGCGATAGTGAGTATTTTCCTTTTCAGCAGTCATACTTTGGGCAACCACCTCATGCATTTCCCACCATGCCATTCCATGATTTGTGACAACTTCCAGTTTTGTGCACACCAGTTTTGTGAGCTCACTGTTTGTGGATGCTCTGTTGTTCATCTTCTATTTGAGCTAATGTTTTGTGGAGTTCTATGTGTGCTCAGATTTTCCGCACTGTTTGTTGATTATGATACTGTTTGTGGGTGTTCAATTTAGGCTATGATGATTGTTAAATTTTCTGAGATTAGCAACCTGCAATATCTATTGATATTGCACTGGATGACTAACGATGATGATATTGAACAAGTTCTGAGCCCACAGTCATAATTCACATATACTAGATGGCTATTTGCTATGTTATATACTAAAATATGGCTATTCAGGCTGTTTATATGTTTTTATAGGTTTCAGAAATTTTTTTGGCTAATTCAGGTACGTATTTCATAAATTTATGAATAATCAGGTTATTACAGGTCTTGTTTATTTTTTCTTAGAAAACAGGTTTTGTGTGATTATTTTCATCTCAAACAGGTATATTTCATGTCAAATCAGGTACGCAGTTCATGTTACAGTAGGTTTCAGATGATTTCAGGTTTCGTATGATTTCATTAATACAAACAGAAATTTATAATTCATTCGGGTTATTATTATTTGTTCATGATACATTCGCACTTTTATATGATTAAGATTACATCTCATAACTAGCACAAATAATTTTTGTCTATAGTGGGGGGTAATCTTACCATGGTGACTCTAAACACTTTTCCCTACACACTTCAAAACCAACCAAACACAAGAAAAGTGGGAAATGTCAAATCAACAAAAGTTTTCCCTTTTTTCTCATGCAAACCAAACACAAGAAAAGTAAAAACATTGGTTTCTCACCATTTTTTTGTGCGAACCAAACCAAAACAAACTATTTCTTGGAAAAGTTTGGAAAACTAAAAACATTGGTTTCTTTACATGGAATTACATTTCCCTATATCTAGGAAACGAACCAAACAACCCCTTACGTTCAAAAACTAACACTGTCTACACTTTTCTAACGGCAACCAACTTATGTTACTTTTTTAATACAAAATACAATTTTTGCTATTAAAGTGTCAGAAAGAGAAAACTAGTGGGTATTTAAGTGATATTTTGCCTATAAGCTTTATTCCTCAAAAACTAGTGGGTCTGTTTGTTTCGTAAAAAAAAATACAGAAAGTGGGGAAAGAAAATTGATATAGGTAAAATTTGATATTTTCCTTCACTTTCAGATGTTTGGTCTGTCAAAGCTATAAAAGAAAGTGGGGGTAAAAAAGAGTTGTCAACATATTATTGGATGAGATGAGTAATTTTTTATGTTTCCTCTGCTTTCCTTGTTTAGATTTTTTTCTTGTGTTTGGTTCATTCTTAAAACTAAGAAAATAGATGAGTTGTCATTATATTATGGGGTGATGTGACTCATATAAGAAAATCAATTTTCTTGTTTTTTTGGAGGAAAGAGGTGGAAGAGAAATTTTAATGAGATAGGATGAGTTGTTATCATATTATTGGATGATGTGAGTAATTTTTAGGGGGTGCTTGTTTTTTTTTTTTGGGATATCGGGTGGATTTCAAGTTTTGGGATGTAAAAAGTGCTCTTTTTGAGTTTTGGGATTCCATAAACTTTGTTTGTTTCAAAATTAATTTTGGGATATTGAATCCCTAAATTATAAACAAATAATATATTTTTAGGATTTGTGAAATCCTCTCTTTTGTTTTGTCCTTTTTTTGGGATATAAGGTGGATTACAAGTTTTTTGGGTTTTAGAATTTCATAAACCATGTTTGTTTCACAACCAATTTTGGGATATTGAATCCCCAAATAATAAAAAACTATTATATTTTAGAATTTGTGAAATTCTACAATTGAGAGAGGATGTAGGTTGGATATTGATGTATTAATGCTAATAATATAAGATTAATATAAGATTAATATATTATATATAATATTATAATAATATAATATTTAATATAATACATCTATTCCTCTATAATAATAGGAGGACCCAAGAATCACTGTTCATGCTATAGTAAATGTTACAGTAAATTACTGTAGCATTATATATATATATATTACATATATATTATATATATTACATATATATAATATATATTATTTATAATATGTAATATATTATATATA